ATTCTCGAAGCCATCTCAAATAAAGGAAGACAAACTTTCTCTAAGAAAATTTGAGAAAAAGAGCGTCTGAACGAAGTAACTCCCCCTGTAGGGGGTATACGTTATACATACAGAATCTTAACGACCGAGATTCGCCGAACTATCTGAAGCAAATGGCTTCGATTCTACGGTTCAAATTGGACGGCCATAAGCAAGGCGGGACGTTCAGAATTCTGTGTGAATGGCCAAGATCTGACACGATCCCCCATCAGATCGATGGATAGGATCAAAAGCACTATTGAGTCCGCACCTCGAAGCGGGAGTGCAAAGGTAAAACGTTATCTTAGCGGGAAAGCATGAGGACCCACCCATAGACACACGACTGGCCTTGATAAGTTTGAATTTTGCTTGAAGTGACCCAACTCGAATGGTAATCTAGCCCGTGTGCACTCACACCGCTCAAGTTCGCTCGAAGGTCTCGACCTAATCGAGGAAGTCAAATTCACCTTGACTCATCAGGAACCTCTTTATTCAAAGTATTCCAGACCACACACAAGTTAGTTTAGGTCTGAAAACTTTAAAGGGGGTCTTGTAGGCGGTAAAAATTACCTTTGCAGATAAACCTAAAATCCACCTGTGTATTTGAGTCGCCCGCACAACGTGAAAACTAGGCTCACCTGTGTGCTTGACTCACCAGCATGAGCCAAGACCACGCAATCACCAAATTCGCCCACGCAGCTGGTGATCCACCAGGCAATCAGAAACTCGCCCGCACACTTGACTCGTCTGCATGAGTTAAGTTTACTCAAGAGCCGAAGCCGCCTGCATCGCCTGCATGCCCAGACGATCAGCCAGTCAATCAACATTCTAACCACAGACTCGCCAGGGTACTTGGCGGCCGCAATATCACGTCCAGGGATGGGCCTTCCTATTTCCCATAACATGAAGGGAAGGAGCACAGTATTCCGAGCCCATCAAGCGGCCACCCACAGTACGAATGACCAGTCAAATCCATGCAATCGCCAAACTCGCCTGCATGCTTGACTCACCCGCACGAGTCAAGATCACCCAAGTGACTGAAATTCGCCTGCTTACTCGACTTGCTTGCACGAGTCAAGAGCTGAATTCACCCGCGATAGACGAACTTGTCGAATTCGCCAGAGTACCTGGCGGCCGCAATATCACGTACAGGGATGGGCCTTCCCACTTCCCACGACATGAAGGGAAGGAGCACAATACTCCGAGCCCATCAAGCTGCCGTCCACAGTATGAGCGAGCAGTCAAATTCACGGTATCGCTACACTCGCCTGCACGCTTGACTCGTCCGCATGAGTTAAGTTTACTCAAGAGCTGAACTCACCTGCACAAGTCAAGAGCTAAATTCACTCACAATCAACAACCTCTCCAAACTCGCTAGAGTACCTAGCGGCTGCTATATTATGTACAGGGATGGGCCTTCCCGTTTCCCATGATGTGAGGGAGAGAAGTATAGTGCTCCGAGCCCATCAAGCGACCGCTCATGGTACAAGTGAGAAGCATGGTATCTCCCAACAGTACATGGTCACATCCCATGATTTAAGAGAGCGACCACACCATCTCTCCTCTATTTTAGGGCCTCCCCTGGCTACAAGGGAGAGGTTCGCAGTTAATTGATCAATTCAATCAGTTAGCTGGACCATTAGCTCTCAACTCTCGACTGAGTTGATGACAGGCTCTTTGCATGATCTTTGACTGTAGCACATTCTCCCAGCTTCGGGCCTTGACCGCCACCGAACTCAGAAACCCGAACTCGACCAGTATGAGCTTCTATTGCATACTGAAGCTCACCAGCAACCTAGATCGAATCGTCCAAGGGAAGCAGACTCGGTGCGAGAACCGAGTGAGGCGTCCTATCGCTACCAAAGTCCCCACGTTAAACAAGGAGGGCATTTCCTCCGCTTCTGTTATAATTTTGATTCATTAGTTTGTAATAAGCTATTCTTATCAATACAAATGAAACCCTCATTTTGGGAAATCAAAATTTACGTCTACAATGTCAATACTGCTTTTTTGAATGATGATTTAGATGAAGAAATCTATATGAACCAACCTGAAGGCTTCATTGCCAAAGGTCAGGAAAATAAAATCTGCAAACTTGTTAAATTTTTGTATGGTCTTAAACAAGCTCCTAAACAATGTCACTAGAAATTTGACAGAGTCATTGCATAATATGGCTTCATTGTGAATGAACACGATAAGTATGTCTATTCTAAAGTGATAAACTATGACTATGTCATCCTCTGTCTCTATGTTAATGATATCCTCATCTTTGGAACAACTCTTGAAGAAATCTTTAAGGTTAAGGATTATCTCTCCAAGATCTTTGACATGAAAGACTTAGGTATTGCCGACATGATACTTGGAATAAAAATCACTAGAGACACTAGAGGAATATCCCTGAGTCTTTCTCATAGTATTGAGAAAATACTGATCAAATTTAATTTTCATGACTCTAAACCTGTTTCCACACCTTATGACTCTTTTACATATTTGAAGAAGAATGAAGGTGAACCTGTCTCCCAGCTGAAGTATTCTCAACTGATTAGATCTCTCTTGTACATATTCAACCGGACTAGACCCGATATAGCATATGTTGTAGGGAGACTGAGCCGGTATACCAACAACCCTAGCAAATATCATTGGATTACCTTAGAGAGAGTATTTATATACTTGAAAGGCACAGTTGACTATTGCTTGACTTACACTGGGTACCCTGATGCTATAGAAGGGTATAGTGACACTAACTGAATTACAAATTCCAATAATGTAAAGTCTATATCTGGATATATATTTCTTTTTTGTGGTGTAGTTGTATCCTAGAAATTATGTAAGCAAACAGTAATTACCAGGAGCACCATGGAGTCTGAATTAATTGATCTTGATACCACTTGCACAGAAGCAGAACGATTAAAAGATCTACTCTCTGAACTTCCTATAGTCCCTAAACACTTTCCTCCAATTTCTATTCACTCTGATTCTAGATCCACCATAGAGCTTCTAAAGCAAGTACATGTTAATAAACTTAACAGACATATTCAAATAAGATATAAATCTGTACAATGCCTGCTAGGTAAAGTTATGATTCTAGACTTTGTAAAGTCTGAAAAGAATCTTGCTGACCCTTTGACTAAGGGTTTATCTAGGAGTGTGATTCTGGATTCATCGAGGGAGATGAGATTAAGCCCATAGATAAGGTCACTAACAGTGGGAACCCAACCTTTATTTGGAGACGCAGTCCCAATGTAGGTTCAATATGGTAGAAACAAGCTAGACTAGTGACACTCGTGTGGAGCATCGACTTAGATATATTCATATATTATTATGATAGCATTTGCTACTTCCCTTTCTCTATGGTGATGATGCTCTTATGATATAGCTGGGCAGGTTGAGTTTTACTCTTAATAAGTCCAATGCATGTATTGTGGAGGGTATGATGTCCACCTGTAGTACCCTTAAAGGACTTACCTACGTGTGAGGAACTGTGATAGCCGTGATTGTGTAGGTGTGAGAGGGGGGGGGTGTTAGCCTTCTTGTTTTGATGGTGATTTAGCAAACAATTTACATCTAATATTGTTTGTCTAGTGTTTGTGTTTTTATATTTATTCTAGGCAAACAACGTGTTGAAGGATGGATGGAATAGAGCTTAAACGATGATATCCAATGGAGGTTGGCGGAATAGTGGTTGAAGCCTATGCAATTCAAGTTAAAGATCCAAGTTCAAGCTTCATCCGCAGAGTGTACCAAGTCAAGCTTATTGAAGATCAAGATTGCTTGGGTAAATTAGTTTAGGGCTTATATTATGTGTGTTAATACTTCAAGCTCAATATCACACATAGACGTTTGGTTTGGTTTATCGTCGTTTTGGATTATAGACTTAACGACATTATTTTATATCTTTTATCAAGTTTATAAATCTATTGGAAAGTTTTCAAAACTTTGTTTAAACTCATTTTGTCAAGATCAAGCTTTTACAAGTCCATACTTATGTGATTATGTTTAGAACCTTTCCTCAAAGTTTCATAATTTTTGGAGTTGATTTACTATTTTTAATTGATTTTACAAAACCAGATACGCAAATTTCCAGAATGCTGAATTTAGGGGTATTTTGGTCTTTTCAGCCTATAACGGCTAGTAACGGCTAGTTTTTGATATTTTCGGTTTTTGGGAGTTTGTGGCTGATTTAAGAGGCTATCAAAAGCCCTCAACTTTCATTGTTTCTTATGGATGTTTAAGAGAGTTTTAAAAAGAGTTTTACAAGTTTGTTGAAGGGTTTTTAAGTTTGTTTCAAGAGTTTGTTTGTGAAGAAAATTCCACAAGAGCTTGAGGAGATCATCTATTGAAGTTTGAGCTTCCAACTATTATCCCTCCACCTCTTGATCTATTGAGAAGTTTTCTAAACTCTTATCTAGCTTTACATTTGCTTAGTTATTTGATTATCTTTCTTTAAAGCTAGTTTTTATATTGAGTTTAGATTTGATTATATTATCTTATTGTTACACACACTAGTTTTTATATTGAGTTTAGATTTGATTATATTATCTTATTGTTACACACACCCACATTGAGCTTATGGTATTTTCATACATAGTATATTTGGGTTGGTGAGAGTTGTAATAATTAAGTGTGAGCTTTCATTGTGTTCTCATCCATAGTAGAGAACAAACATTTATTATATTAAGCCTAATTGTGAGGATACACTTTGTAATACACTTGTACACCGAGAGGAGTGTGTGGTGAGAGTCGGGGATCGTCCCAAGAGGAGTGGCGTCGGTTGACGAACCTAAGGAGATGTTGTAACCGAGCACATGAGGGAGACACGGCTAGGTCCAACACTTGTGAGGGTGTAGAGTGTGATTGCATAGTGTTTGTTGTGTGAGAGTTTTCGGTAAACTTGT